GAGGAAGATAGAATAGATAGATAAAGAGAGGTAGGGGAGAGAGAGAGAGAGAGAGAGAATAAAATAGACAGATAGATAGATCAGGGGTCTTCAAACTTGGCAGGTTTAAGACTTGCAGACCATCTCCCAGAATTCCTGAGCTAACATGACTGGAGGAGGAATTCTGGGAGGTTACTAACTTGAGAACTGCAGTGATTCACTTAACAACCGTGGCAAGTTGTAAAATGGGGCAAAACTCATTGGACAAACGTCTCCAAAGTACCCGAAGGCAGGACAAGAAGCAACAGATGGAAACTTAATTCGAGGTTGAGAAGCAACCTAGAACTAAGATTAAAAAAATAATTCTGACTTTGAAGAACAATGGAACAGCTTGCCTTCAGAAGTTGGGTTTTTAAAAAGAAGAGGTTGGATAGATATTTGTCCAGAATGGTGTAGGGGCTCCTGCTTGAGCAGGGGGTTGGACTAGGAGACCTCTAAGGTCCCTTCTAACTCTGTTATTTATTCCATTAAACACAAGGCCACACTCTACTTGACTTCAGCACCAGGGACAACTCCTGAACGCATCAGGACCACGGACAGCTCCCCATTTAGCCGGGAGCCAAAGGTATCAAAATGTTGACTCACCAACATCAAAGACGATGTTATTCCAGATCTGATTTTAACCGTCTTCCTCTTGAACCCAGACCCTCTCCAGGGGAAAAAATGCTCGAGTCCCCATTGCTAAGTGACACCAGTTTTTTGTTTTTTTTAAAAAAGGGGAGGGTAATGACTCCATTTTTCTTGATCACAGGAAAACCACTTTGAGAACGAAATGGATTCGGGACACCTCATTCTTCGAACAATTCATGCCATTCCCTTATTATTATTATTATTTTTATTTTGCAAAGGGAAGCTTTCATCCCCTGAACTATAAATATATTTAGAAACTTGGGGAGGCAGGAAAAACAGTCCCCATTCCTGAAAGATTTGGGGTGCTGGGAGAACCGGAGAAGAGTCTTGATTCCTCCCCCACTTTGCAAAATCAAGAAGACATCATGAATCATTTTGGAATTCTTTCTTTGCGTCACTCCCTGGGAAGATCCAAAGAGAAAAAAAAAAGGTTTCAGTCTCCGACGAGAGCCAGAAGCCAATTCAAGCTTCTCCTTCAAGGACGTGCAAATAGTCTGTTTTTCCCAAAAATATATATATGAAATTTCAGGAATCTTTTGGTGAGAAGCCCGCAAAGGATCGCTGTTGGCTGGAAGAAGGATCAGTTGCATCCGGTCACTGGATGGGAAGAAGTCATCACGTCCAGATGGATCAAGAGAGCTGCAGCCAGGGAGATGGAGAGACAAAGAGATGGAGGAAGAGTTGAGACTGGAAGAGGAAATGGTTGGGCGAGGAGATATGGATGCCTTTCCTTTGGCTAAGCCGTCCATCGTGTCTCTCCAAGAGCTTCCACCACACCTGTTGAACCACACCTGCCCTGCAGGAAATACCTAGCCCTCCACCTAGCCCATCTGTGCCCAAAGGGAAGAGAAACCCAGAAGACGAGGAGAAACGGAAGAAAGGAAAACCGAAAGCCAAGGAGATCAATGGCGGTGGCTCCCTTGTGTCTTATTCTTCCTTCCAAAGGAGGCTGGAGAGGAGGAGGAGGCCTCTTCCAAGAGTGTTTCCCCAAGTAGGAGAGCCAATGGGAGGGTCCAATTGGATCCCACAGGTAGACTCACCTGTGGCTTCTGCGTGAAGGATTCGCGCGTTGGTACTCCGCACACACCCGGACAGAAAAATCTTCTTCTCTTCTACTTTCTCCACCTTGGTTTCCACGAGGACTACAGAGCCCAGCGGGATGGGGCTGGAAGGGGAAGGATGGGCCTGTCAAGGGCAGTGGATGATGGTTCTTGGCAGCTAAACCTCTCTGTGGGTTTCTCCCCTGCCTGCAGCCAAAGTCATCTCAAGTGCCACCCTTCCCTCTCCTTTCTGAAGCAACCAGGCTGGTTGGTCTGGTTTTGTCAGCCCAAGGTGAAGGCGGAAATACAGGCTAAGAATACAGGCAGTTCATTGAGTGGCCATTCAAAGCTATGACATGACTCGGGGCCATTTTCATACTTACGACCGAGAGAGAGCTCAGAGGAAGAGCCAGGCCCACCCCCTGTTCATTCTAGGGCACGCAGGGAGGAATGGAGAAGGGAGCAATGTGGGTTGCATGGCTTACGGGGGAGGAAAGGGCCCTGATTCCCTTAATTAGCTGCAGCTGGAAACACAGTGTTTAAAAAGGGAAGCTGCACACAGCAAGTTGTTGGGAGCAAATCGTGAATTTATCTGGTATCGTAGAAGCTTATCTGGGTTCCTGGCATCTTCCCAACTGTGTGTGTTTTGATGACCTTTCAAGTCTGCAATTCCTTATCCTGCCCTGTCATGTTAATTACCGCCCTGTGGTTTGTGTGGATTTTTATTTACAGTTTGCATGTATTTTGTTTTTGGACTGGATTTCCTCCACTTAAAGGCTGTTCTTGGGAGATTTTTTCTCTCCAGCCGAAGGTAACTGGACATTGGGGGCAAAGTTGGAGGTATTAAAGGGACGCTCCTTGCTTATCCGACTGTGTTGCCTTTGTGCCACGCCCCTTTGGGTCATCACAGCCTCATAGAATGGCAGACTTGGAAGGGATCCTAAAATGGGGCAAAATTCACCGCACCGACGTCTCGCTCAGCCACAGGAAAATTTGGGGCTCGCCGTAAGCCGAGGATCACCTCAGTTGGGGGCGCAAAGAGACGCCGATCCCTGCTCACCTCTTGTAGTTCACGGAGAGGTTGGCGGTCACCACGAACCCCGAGGCACAGATGCCGCAACTCGCAAAGGTGTGATCCAGGATGGCGGCCACGGCCCCCCCCATGCACGAATCTGGATCAAATCGGGAGTCGACATCAGAAGAGGCGGAAGGGGGAAGGAAAAGAGTGCGGAGAAGAGCAACCATTAGGGGACTGGAGGCTAAAACATACGGAGAACGGTTGCGGGAACTGGGGAGGTCTTGTTGGATGAAAAGAAGGACCAAGGGGTGACAGGATAGCAGGGTTCTGATATCTGAGGGGCTGCCCCAAAGAAGAGGCAGTCAAGGTACTCTCCAAAGCGCCAGAAAGCAGGATGAGAAGCAACGGATGGAAACTCATCCAGGAGAGAAGCAACCTGGAGCAAAGGAGGAATTTCCTGACAATTGAGGACAAATTAACCGATGGAACAGACTTTGTGGCTGCTCCATCCCTGGAGGCTTTTAAGAGGAGATTGGACGGCCATTTGTCTCAAATGGTCTGGGGTTTCCTGCCTGGGCAGGGGGCTGGACTAGAAGACCTCCAAGGTCCCTTCCAACATCTTTTAGATGTTAGAAAACAGACAGGAAGAATATCTAGCCGAAGGGGGAGACGCAGGCTCCATCAACCCATCCAAGCTCACCCGATCATCCCTTCCAAATGCGACCCAGTTTGGAGGAGAACTGCCATCCGTCTCTCCGAGCCATTGTAAAACATGGCAAACTCGAACCCGCGGCCTTCGGCAGCCACGTTTCGGACGAACAAGCAGGCATCTGGATGCTTTTTCGGGTTGTAGCCCAATTTGCTGAGGACTACAAATGGAGGCGGTGGAGGAAAAAAAAAAGCGAGGAAGAAAACAAAGATATTAAAAGTTGGAAAAAGGAAATCCCCTATTTTATTCGATTTGAAGTTTGGGCTAAAATAAAACAGAGCTAAGAAATGCTGCCCCTCCTCCCCCCCCCCCAGAGGAGGAAAAATGATCCAGATCTAGAATATATTTTTAGGGGGTGGGTGGGAAATAGATTTGTTTGGGGCAGGTCACAAGGGTGGCAATTGGGAGTTCATTTTGGAACCAGGCTACGTGAGAAAAGTTGGTGCAAAATTGTCCCCGCATTAAACTGGAACTTGGATTTTGGAATTTGCTTCCACTTCAGAGGTGAATCTGTTGGCCTTAATTAATTGCACCAACATTGTCTGACCCCCCAAACAGGGTCTTACCACCCATAACTTAAGGTTTCTGAGGGTTGGAAATCCATCCATCGCCAAGTTGCCGAGTCGAGGAACACAACCCCAGACTGCCACACCTTCCTTCCAAAGATGGGGAGATCTTGTAACTTGGGACGTGGTTGAGAGCCAGATCTTTCATCCTACGACTTGATAAGACAGCTAAGGTGTTGTTGGTCAAGCTGGCCAACTTGAAGATGAGTGGCGTTCAACTCCCAGAAGTCCAGCTGGCGGGGAGAATCTGGGGAGTTGGAAGGCCACCCATCTTCGCGAGGTTGAGCGACATTGCAGAGGGAAGGATCTAGAAGAACGATTATTTGGGAAGGCCTGAAGATGGAGAACTTGCCATCTTTCTAACAAGCAGACCTTCGCCGGAGGAAGGCCACTCTGGGAGGAAATGCTTAAAGTGGGATAGAAAGACTGACCGGGCATGCTGTCCACGCTGTTGTTATAACTCGGCATGCGTTGCCAAGATCCATCTTCGGACAACTTTGTGAATTTTTCAAACTGGTCCATCATCTCTTGGCTCCAACTTGGGTTAGGGACACCAAAGTCCCTGAGAAGTTGGTGGGACTCTTGCTAGGAAACAAGGAAGACAGGATATCTGTGTTGAGGGCCCCCACTACAGGACACTTCAGGGCACATGGGTGGGTTATTTGCAGATATCCAACCATCTCTGTCCGCCACAGCAGGTCTCTTGGGCTTGGAGTGCCCTCTATGAATGCAGGAGCCTCAACCTTCTCTAGATCCTCCAGAATCTCCTTAGGATCTCAGAACCTTTTAGATGGTCCTCCAAAACCAGGGATGAAGAGGTTTATTTGGGGAGGGTGTCCTCCCCTTTCTGTTAAGCCCTCCCAAATACTCACCGTGGAGGTCCTTCTGAAGAGCACACGAGGATTCTGTGCCAAGAGTTCTTTCGTTGTTGCCAGACGAGGTATCTCGGTGGCCAACCCTTTGACCGCCTGGTTGATGCTCCTCAGAATACCATGCATTCTGAATCTTCTGGCCTGCTGAGCTCTTGGAAAGGGTGTCTTCTTCT